TCCTCCTCATTCTCAGGCGATGGAGGGGTCTTTTGTTGAGCATCCAGAACAGAAGGTGAAACCAACCTTCTGCTAGATCTACCACCTCAATGAAACATCTGTGCATGGGGGGCTTACAGGTTTGGACTCGTTGTTTTCACTCCCTCAAAAAGGTGTCTTCACCTTAACAGTCAAATTGACGAGTCTGCGTGTCTCAACAAGACCACGAAATGATCGAGTGTATTTATTAAAAAAAAAAAAGTGGATCTTTCACTTCCAATAATGGAACGTTTGTATTTTTGGTACAACAGAATACACACACACACACACGTGTGTGTGTGGGTGTGTGTGTGTGTGTGTATCTGCGACGAGGATAACGAAATACGCATTTAGCTGTTGCGACGTTCGCTAAATTTTTTTCTTTGTGAAGCAACCAGGGAAAGAGATTAAAAGTATCCACATCTTTTTCTTGCAGTCTAATCATCCTCCCTGGCTTAATGCACATGGCTGACACGTAGACAAGGACGACTAGGAATGCCAAGGTAGAAAGCCTTTTAAGATTTGCTAGGCGGATAAGACGCGAGGCCTAATGCACTGCCTGCCTGCCTACTTACCTACCTACCGACCAACCGACAGACCGACCGACCGACCTAAACACATCGCGGTTTCCGCCTTCCTGTCTTAAGGACGAAATCATGTTGGGTCTTTTTTTATCGTACAAAAGGTTTTGACTTACTTTAGGTAGTCTTGACGACACAGCAGCATGTTTCCACGATGAAATAGTGAAGTTCCCATCTCTGCTAATCGACCACCACAGCAGTGACATTTGAGGCAATGGTTGTGCCAATTCTGTTCCATTGCACTTAGCATTGTTCGATCCCAAATCACCATTCCACAACCGGCACATATATTTGCATTTCGTGGTGTCTCCTGTGATTGTGTGCCATTCATTTGAGTTTCTGTAATTTTCATTGGATGGACTGATTCCTCAAATCGGCTAGATGGTTGAGGTGTGGTAGACACATCACCGTTAACACCGTTGGAAGGACCGAGAAGGAGACCTTGATCTCTGGGCATGACGCAATGTGATTGTGACGATGGAATCCGCTGACTTGTGCTGTCTATGACACGCTAAAGTGATTGGCCTAGTGGCACGTGCTTGAAGGTGGTTTTCTGATTGGCTGAGGTAGAATGTGGGCGTAGGATTGGCGCGCGAACATCCACCCTTTCACGATTGGTTGGGTCATTACTAGGCCGATGGTAAACGGTATTATGCGAACGGAAAGTTCAGTCTTTATGTACTTTTGAACATTAAAGAATGTGATTATTCTGGCAAAATCAGTCCCCATTCCTATTAGTCATGGGTGATGTTTGCAAACCGTTAGCCTTGTAAAACGAAGGCTTCAGGTATTTGGTCGAACTTTTATGACATGCGAGTCAAGTAAATTTACACTAAGAGCGTGAAGTTAAGGTCACAGATGCTGTAGACAACAAATTCAAAAAGTAGATTTGCACATTTGTAGTCCGGAAAATTACTATTGAATGAGATGCATGGGTCGTATCAACGCATTGAGTTTTATACGAAAGGAAGTCTTTGATGCATTTCGCAAACCCGTTCATGAGTAAAAGGAATTACAAGGGCAGATAGAATCTCCTCGCTTAACAAAAGTAAAAACATTTGCCCCAATATTTTGAAACAGGTGTTTAGTCGTATTTTATTCCAATGGTAGTTTTAAATAGAAACTTCCGTGAAAGTTTTTTCTCATCGTCTGCCTATGGCACTCTGACTCCAGACCGCTTCATACTTTTGCGCCTGACATTTGTCTTAGCCAGTAGGTCTGCCTGTTTGCGTGCCACCACTCGTGATGTCCCTGACCTTCTCGTTTTCGTAATGTAGAAGGTAAAGTGCCACTTAGACGTACTGTTTACGTTGGTAAGAGATATGATTAAGTAGTTTGACCGATGGGTTCGGTGGACGAATGGCTGACATATTCACCATCAACAATTCATGTGTAAAATGAACCAATTTCTCTGCGAAGCCGTTACACAATGCCACCGTCACCTTAAGGCAGCTAATGAGAGGCACCAAAATCGTGGGCAGCAATCTGATTGGTTGATTTAATTGGAATTAAATGCAGTCAAATGGAAGCCTAATGCGTTTCCTTAGAGGCCGATGGGAACGCATACCGCTGTTAGCGATGGTGGAGGCACGTTTGATGTTTTGAATACCGCTTTGTCTTAGTTACACGATGCCATTAAGAAGCGCCACGCGTTCATACTTGAAAGTCGCAACGGAAAACTGATTTAAGCCTGCCATTTTTTCTCCTTTATACGCATTAGCCAAATCGACGTAAAATGACTACGAGATTGCCTTATTTGTGCCTCTCGCCCTCAATTGGGCGAATCACTTGAAACCGATTGTATAAGCGCCTGTTGCAGTGCTGACTAAACACTGTCCATTAATCGCGTCGGATGTCAAAGGCTAAAACAGACATCCGCTTCGGCTAAAGTTCAGCTTGGACCAGACACCAAACACCGGCTTTTATGCTTGTTTATTTAATCGAAGTGGTTGGCTGGCCAAAATGGGCTCCTCACCTCTATTGGACATCAGAATGCAAAATGATTGACCGCTTCCTTGTAGTTGTTCCTTCGAGAACGGATGTGGTGGCCTGAAATTGGTTAAGGGTTCAGCATGCATTCAACACCCTCGTTGCCACTTTCAAAAAGTGTCCAGTAAAGTTATGCCAACATTAACTCAATCCAAAATTTGCCATTTCTAACATTGCATGATTAGTTTTATGGAAAGGTTCGAAGAAAATTTTACTCCTCTTGTATACTCAATGGAGGGAGCTGAAAAAATGCTTCTATGATTGACATCAAACCTCCCAAAATGACCTTCCACTTCAAAGTGGTAG